TATATATATATATATATATATATATATACAATGACTATAGATCAGTGATTTAAATAGATTATTAGACTAGAAAACGTAATAAAACACGTTAAAACGCTGACAATTTTACAAAAGACCTATAAAATATCTATACAAATTCATTTTGAAAGTTATTTTTATCAAAGCTTATACTGAATTTATAAATGTGTATGTACTTATACAATATATATGTGTGTGTGTGTGTGTGTGTGTGTGTGGTTGTACATACACATATTTTTGGTGTTTGGCTTAGAATGTTAGAATCATTATTATACTTTTTGTTCTTTTGTTCTTTAATATTTTTGAATTGTTTTTAGCTTTATTTTTAGTTTTTCATTTAAATGTTACGTTTTGAAATTTTGTTGTATGCATTTGTCATTTTTATTTAATCTCTTTATTTTTTAAATGTGTATAAGTAGTATTTATAAAGTTTTAGCTTTTAGTTTTGGATCTGTTTTTAGTTGTTTTAATACTACAATTGATTGCTTCTGTTGTCCTCATTTGTAAGTCGCTTTTGGATAAAAGCATCTAATAAATGACTAAATAAATAAATGCAATTAATTTTTTATTTTATTTTAAAAAAGCTGTCTCCAGTCTGTTGAATGCAGAGATTTTCAAATGGATTTCAGTTTTGTTTCAATGTAGTTTCAAGCATGTGAGTGAAGCCCTCTCATTTTGTAGTTTTAGTAGTACGATCATTTTGAAAACAGCTTAAGTATGATTCCATATCTAGCTCTATATAAACCTATAAAATGTAGCCTCTTCTGGAGTATTTAGAACTATAGTATGTTTTAGGCATCATTACATGCCACTGCTTCTTTTCTTCTTTGTGTGTGTGTGTGTGTGTGTGTGTGTGGTTGTACATACACATATTTTTGGTGTTTGGCTTAGAATGTTAGAATCATTATTATACTCTTATACCTTTTGTTCTTTAATATTTTTGAATTGTTTTTAGCTTTATTTTTAGTTTTTCATTTAAATGTTACGTTTTGAAATTTTGTTGTATGCATTTGTCATTTTTATTTAATCTCTTTATTTTTTAAATGTGTATAAGTAGTATTTATAAAGTTTTAGCTTTTAGTTTTGGATCTGTTTTTAGTTGTTTTAATACTACAATTGATTGCTTCTGTTGTCCTCATTTGTAAGTCGCTTTTGGATAAAAGCATCTAATAAATGACTAAATAAATAAATGCAATTAATTTTTTATTTTATTTTAAAAAAGCTGTCTCCAGTCTGTTGAATGCAGAGATTTTCAAATGGATTTCAGTTTTGTTTCAATGTAGTTTCAAGCATGTGAGTGAAGCCCTCTCATTTTGTAGTTTTAGTAGTACGATCATTTTGAAAACAGCTTAAGTATGATTCCATATCTAGCTCTATATAAACCTATAAAATGTAGCCTCTTCTGGAGTATTTAGAACTATAGTATGTTTTAGGCATCATTACATGCCACTGCTTCTTTTCTTCTTTCACCCTTCAAATATTTTCTTTATTCTTTTCTTCTTTCATCTCTTAATGGGTTATTAAAAACACAAATAGTAATAGCCTAATTCATAACTCCTTAAAAGTCAGATTATTTGTGCAAATATGAGGCTCAGTTTGTTCAGCGTGATTAATGTTTGACAAGATTATAATTTCACACAAAATAATTACCAAGACAGATTTCTGTCATGTGTTTTCCTCCCCCACATGTTCCATGTCCCAGGTTTCCCATGTTGATTGTGTTTGATATTGTTCCAAGGTGTTCCTCATTTTGTCCCTCCTCTAGTCTAGTATATAAAGTGTGTTCTGCCCCTTGTTTCCTGTCCGGTATTGGTCATCTGTCCCCGTGAAGAGATCTTCCCTTCTTCGAGTATGCCTGGGTAGGGCCGTCCTTAGGGGGGTGCAACTGGTGCAGTCGCACCGGGTCCCGTGCTTGAGCCCAACCCCCCCCCCACACCGGAAGGCACTTGCGAATGGACTGAGGGGGGCCTTACTCCCTACCTGCCTGGGAATTCCGCGTGCTCGCGACGGCATTGGATGCCGCCACCATCAATTCTCTGTTCTGGCTCGGGGCCAACTACCATCGCCCCATGGACCTCCCAGACACCAAGGGACTATGCTGGATGGAAGGGATCTACCGGTGTCTGGGGAGTGTCCGGACCTGAACCAGCCTGCCGTCAAGCCCGCCGGCTCTCTCCAGCCTGCCGACCACGCCTTTCACCCCGAACCTAAAGGGGAATCTTAGGAGGAGAAGGCGGTACCAGAGGGAGCTCTCTCCTGAGTTTTGAACTTTATCCGGACTACACACACACACACACACACACACACAGACTCACATACCTGGCTCTGATTGCTCCTGCACCTGACACTCGTTATGTGGACTATTTAACCAGCTCTCAGACTCTCCCTCATTGCGAAGTCTTGTATTGCCCCGGTGTCCATTTCTGAGCGTTTCTTCCCGTGTCTGGCCTCTCTGTTGATCCCCGATCTCTTGCTATTTTTCTTTGACTACTGATTGTTTGCTGCCTGCCCCGACCCTGTTTGCACATCCCTGACTACGATTTGGCTTCTCTCCTCTGTTGTGTTTGCTGGTGTCTGACCTTGCCTGTTTGATTACGATTTCAATAAAGCTGCAGATGGATCCTCACTCTGTTGACGTCTCGTTACACTGATACTGACAGTATGATCAAATTTAGCACTCTTAGAGAAATATGATAATGTTTTGTAATTATAATTTAAATCTGACTAATTTTCAAATTGTTTGTCGTTGATAAACTTCTCAGAAAAAATGCTATGCAGTTTAAAATCGGAATATGACTTTTTGTCACGAAACAGGGCATAATTTTCACACACGTCTTCTGCAGAAGACACCGGGACAAACATCATGTTAATCAGGCATTTTGGGGTTAATAGGGAAAGAAATTATAGATCAATATTCCTATGAAATATTCGAAATTTTTATGAAAAGATGTTACTCCCATTATAACACTTCTTTTTTCATTATGGTCCCCCCCCCCAAGGACACATTCGCAGTCTCTACACTGGATGCATCAAAGCGCACTTTCTATATTGTCAGCTTGTCTGTAGCGCAAGCGAGTGGAGCGCGGCATCCGTTTATGTAGCGCTCGCGCTCAGATACTGAACCACTGATTATAATCAGGATCTGTGTGCTTTGACGCAACGTGTCGCGACGTTCGCGCCCGGTGTAGTAGTGTTAGTTAGTGTAAGCCGCTAGTTTACACTAATAGCTACTACCGCTTCTAAACTATCATTTCCACAGCTTTCTGTAGCGCAGCTGCCAGACTTCAGTGAAAACAATAGCAAACATTTAGACACATTAAAGCACAGTATGCTTTTTCTTGTTTAGAAAAAATAATATGAATGCTTTTTGTTTGCTGCTGGCTGCGGTTGGTTTGAATGCCAAATTTCAAGAGTTTATTCAACGCTCATAAATATAGCCTAATTTATATTCACCTAGCTTTTTTTGCTCCGTGGGAAACTAATGATAATGTTATTTCAAGTCCTTTCATATTTTTCAAATTATTTATGGGCTACTGTGGGCTGTTATATTTGGGTTAAAATACATGCTTTTAAAATACATGCATTTCAAATAAAATATAGCCTATACACTACCATTCCAAAAAAAAAAAAAGGTCAGTAAGATTTTTTTAATGGTTTTGAAACAAATCTCTTCTGCTCAGTAAAGTTGCATTTATTTGATTTAAAAAAAAACAGCAAACAGTACATCTACAATGTGAAAGAACTGCTTTCTTTTTTCTTTTCTTTCTGTTTTCCTCTCATACTCCAGCTTTCCGTGTCACATGATCCTTCAGAAATCATGCTGATTGCTGCTCAAAAACATTTCCTATTATTATTATAACTGGCACACCACACTGACACAAAAGCAAGTTTTGAAATGTAATGGACTAACGAAGAAATAAATCAGAACAGAATAGTTTTGAAAATGAGGAGCATATGTTTCCCATCTTATTACTTCATTTTCTTTTAAGCATTTGTAAGCAAACTTTGAAATATTCTCACAAAATCATGAAATATAGTAAAGGGGGTTTATATTTCTTCCATTTGCATGTATAAATGGGGTATTTACAGACCAAAATGACCATGTCCACTATGTCAGAAAAAAAAGGAAATTTGATATATTTTCAAAAACAGGGTATTTTCTAAAATTAAGAGATAAATATTAGCCTATTATGTTTCACTGAAAGTTAATAAATGATAAATAACAGGACAGTGTTGACAATTTTCTGCACTCCTGAATGTTTCTATGTGCACACGATCTGTACATTATGTGCGAGCTTGTGTTTTGTGTGCGTGTGTGCAGTGTAGCAGCACATTAGTTAAGAGCAGAGGTTAGCTACCTGTACAATAAACTGTTTCAAATGGGAATTCAGCCAGTCAGTTTTGATTGTCCACATGCTACAAACAAACATGCTTGAGATATAACCTCCTGCACTTGTCCATCGCCGTCATTATAACCCTCACCTTCTTTCTGATTTGAGTGATCCACATATCTGTCAAACTAGCTAATGATGTTTAATGTGTGAATTCTTGATCAAATGCAGTTATATTATGGGCTGTTGGCATTAATTGTGCTCATGATAGAGTGGTAGTGGAGCGCTCATGGAGTGACTGAAAACTAAGACGCTCCGACTTTCAAAAAATCCACTTCTAGCTCCAGTCAAAAATCAGGCCGCTCCACTCCACTCACTCTGTCAGGAGCGGAAGAACAAAAAATCTCTTCTGTAAAAATGCCCCTGTGGATATATTCTAAACAAGAATTTTTATCATATCTTTTTAAATTTGGGGCAACAACGTCACCAAATATTTAGCAATGAAAATGTAAAATTTAGCAATGCACACATGCTTAAAAAGTCTGTAAATAAATGTCATTGCACTTATTTTCAAATAATCTATTTTAAAAGTGTATTTTACTGTCATTTCATTTTTTTTTATCAATTTAATGGATCCTTGAAATAAAGTAATTTCTTTTAAAAACTGTATTGACCCCATACATTTTAATGCTACTGTAAATATAATACCAGTCCTCATTATAAACACAAAATAATAATCAACTTCAATTAGACTACACTTTATTTGATGGGGGCGGTGAGGTACCTGAATAATGGGTAGGGGGGCGCTGGCCCAAAAAAGGTTGAGAACCACTGTACGGGGATATTACCATGTGCACATATTTGATTGATAAAAGCGCCTGAAAGAGATGAGAAATTGGTGCCGTGATTAAAAGGAAAATTCTTGCGCCCTCTTTCGGCCACTCGTTGTATGGCAAAAATAAGGCAATTTCGGAAGGAACCACTGCAACCACATATTTGACAACAAGTGCATTACACGAATTAAAAAGTCGAATGAATATTACCAGACGCTAGTTGTGTCTAATAGTACGTACGTTTCAATATTATATATTTACATCTCATTTTCGCTCAGCACGTGCACATCATCTCCTGATAAGTTTCTCGCCGCCCCTATTAGGAAAACGAAAGTGGACTGATCCAGTAGTATTGAAACCAAAGCTTATCGCGCAGTTGTTTGTTTTCCCTCAGCGCAGTAGCAGGGCGAAGAGGAGAGGAGAGGAGAGGCGCGGAGTTGTGTAACGGTTGCGTTTTAATCTTCATTGCTAGAATGTGATGATTAGTTAGAATGGTTACATTAAAATGTAATAAGATAAAAAAAATGTTGCTAACAGAACGTTAAATGTATAACAATAAAAATCTTACTTGAAATTAACATTACCTGACAGAAAGCAAATATAAAAACGTATTATTTTAGCTATTTCTACAATATTTGCACAATGCACCAAATATGTTCAAAAATAACTCAAATCTGGATTAGTTAGAATGGTTAATAGAATGTGATGATTAGTTAGAATGGTTACATTAAAATGTAATAAGATAAAAAAATGTTGCTAGTAACAGAACGTTAAATGTATAACAATAAAAATCTTACTTGAAATTAACATTACCTGACAGAAAGCAAATATAAAAACGTATTATTTTAGCTATTTCTACAATATTTGCACAATGCACCAAATATGTTCAAAAATAACTCAAATCTGTCTGTCTATCTATGAAGTATTTATAGTTTTTATATAGTATTTCTTCAGTTGCTACTGGGTGAACTGTAATGTATTTGAGTAGTAACTAAAAATCTAGTACCTAATAAAATAATTACTAGTAAAACTGGAATTCAAAGTATAGTACATTCTAATCTAAAGCATGCATCTTTAATTTGATGGCAAAATTAGCAATTTGTAACAATCACCAGTAACAGTTGTATTGGGAGGATAGTGACTGGTGACTAGTAACAAACAGTACATCTATCTATTTGCTAGTGAAATTGAAAAAAACATTCTAGTTACTTTTGGAACTAGACTTACTTGGAAAGAATAAGCACTTTAACAGAAAATAAATGCTAGTTAGTTATAAGGAGTAAATGTTAAAACCACTGTCTAAACTCCCACAAGCCTTGCTGCATTGTTAACATTCGAACTGAACCTTTAGAATCTTACAATACAACGTTTAAACAAGACTGGCTTTGTATTTCATTATGTTTCCTGATGCTGATTGTAACCTACGATTCTGTTTATGTACAATAGAAAAGCTCTAGAAGGACTCATAGTCCAGGGCTTGCCATTTAAACAACAGGCTGTCGTTTGAAATGTGCACAGAACAGAAAAAAGAGCTGAATATAGGTTATTTGGTGTAGAAATAGTTTGAGAATTGACTTCAAATGAATTGGTTGATTCTTTGTATCAGACACTTAAACATAAGAATAGTTTGAATTTGTCATAAAACAACAATGTCAAGTTTCAGGAACAATGTTTTCATATGAGTTCATTCAAGTCACATATGAATTGAGAAAGGAATATCTGATATCTATCAGTCTGGTTGCTCGAGTTTGTTTACGTTTGCAAGACACGAGACTCACACTTCCTCTTTTTCCTCTCCAGAAACCTCCAGAAGCTGAGTCTCTATGGGGACACATGCATTTTTCAGGATGACGGCATTTTGGACAGCTCTTACCTCAGCCAGGTCGACCAAGGGGGCAAGAGAATGAAAGAGTATGTTTTAAAGCTACATTTCACTCTTGTAAATTGATTACCATCTTGTACTGAAATGGCACACTCAGTGGAAGATATCTAATCAAGGAAGCTGTTTTTGCAAATATTCTGATTATCTTGTTAGTTCTAGGTATAGGAAACCTGTTCTGTTTTGGGCTGATCCATGAAGCTTGTATTATTAGATTGTGCTGGTTTTAACCCTGTGAGAAATCTTTTTTTTACTCGGTTAGCACTTTAGAAGAAATTAACAAAGTTATGCAAAATATAGGTTTTTGCATTTTTAGCAAAAATAGACTGTAAAAACCATATGTGACCCTGGACCACAAAACCAGTCATAAGGGTCAATTTTTCGAAATTGAGATTTATACATCATCTGAAAGCTGAATAAATAAGCTTTCCATTGTTTGCTAGGATAGGACAATATTTGGCCGAGATACAACTATTTGAAAATCTGGAATCTGAGGGTGCAAAAATAATCAAACTATTGAGAAAATCGCCTGTCCAAATTAATTCTTAGCAATGCATATTACTAATCAAAAATGAAGTTTTAATATATTTACGGTAGGAAATTTACAAAATGTCTTAATGGAACATGATCTTTACTTAATATCCTTATGATTTTTTCATAAAAGAAAAATCTAAAATTTTCACCCATACAATGTATTTTTGGCTATTGCTACAAATATACCCCAGCGACTTAAGACTGCTTTTGTGCTCCAGGGTCACATATATGTGGTTGAAAACCTTCTCACTATGAAAATAGCCACAGAAGCTGGCATGGCATTAAAAAAACAAACAAACCTTTGTTTTGGGCTGTGTTCAGATTTGAATACTAGCTTATTGCACAGTGTATAGACCGTATACTTCCTACTGTTTAAAAATAGTATTGCTGTTGGAAACAATAAATATTTTTAAAACATATGTTACATGATATTTCTACATTTTATGTTTAATTCAAAGAGTGTTTTTGAAAAAAGTCTCTTATGCTCACCAAGGCTGTATTTATTTGAATAAAAATACAGTAAAAACAGTCATACTGTGAAATATTAGTTTAAAATAGCTATTTTCTGTTTTAATAATATTAAAATATTTATGCAATCTAGCAGCAATCATTACTAGTCTTTAGTGTCAGATGATCCTTCAGAAATTATTCAGATATGCTGATTTGATTTTTGAAAACAATCTTATAATATTTGAGGTTTTTCAGGATTCTTTAATGAACAAAGTTCAAAAGACAAATAATTTAAAGTAGTTTTTTTTTTGTAAAATGTAAAAGTCTTTACTGTAATTTTTGATCAGTTTAATGCATCTTTGCTGAATAAAAGTATTCATTTCTTTAAAAAAAAAAAGAAATACTGACCCCATACTTCTGAATGGTAGTGAGTGTTTTGGTCTCATTGTGCTGCCTTTACATTTATTTAACTTTAAAAATGAATATGTCTTATTGCAAAGATTTATGACTATTTATAATGTGTCCTACTTCATCCAGTTGTTCTAGGATCTATTTCAGCAATATTTTTCTTTGTACTAAATATATACCAAAGTAACTCAAATCTGTCTATCTATGAAGTATTTATTTATAGTTTTTATATAATATTTATTCAGTTGCTACTGGGTGAACTGTAATGTATATTAGTAGACAAAAGACAAATTGTCATGTATTTTTTTTGTTGTTGTTGTAAACTGTGTAAAAGTCTTTACTGTCATTTTTGATCAGTTGAATGCATCCTTGCTGAATAAAAGTATTATTATTTTTTTTAAACAAATGACTGACCCCATACTTCTGAATGGTTGGTCTCATTGTGCTGCCTTTACGTTTATTTAACTTTAAAAATGAATATGTCTTATTGCAAAGATTTATGACTATTTATAATGTGTTCTACTTCATCCTGTTGTTGTAGGATCCAGCAGCTCTTCGAAGAGATCCTGTCCAACAGCAGGCAGTTGAAGTGGTTGTCTTCTGCGTTCATGCTCGGTGTAGTGACCCCGTGCTCTCTGGCCTCTCTCTCCAACCCCAGCACCAGCTCCCTCGAGCACCTCAGTCTGATCGACAACCAGCTGCCCAGCCTGATTTCCACCATCGAACTGGAAAGGCTCATTCACCTGCGGTCTCTGTCCTTGGAATTTTGCGACTTCACCTCAGACATGTGCCGTCTCCTCGCCTGCGGTGACCGAGCACCCCTCCATCGCCTCTCCCTCTTGCTCAATGGTGCTGCTTTGGACGTCAAGCCTTTGGATGGTACCACCACCGAGGACGATTGGAAAGCCCTGGTCCGTCGCAGCACCAACCTCCGCGTCTACATCATGGCGATGGATGTGTGCAGCCAGGACCTTCTGCGTGTGCTGAAGCCCAGCGTGCCCCTGGAGCGGATCCATCTGGACAGCTACAGCATGCTGGTGACGGATGGTGTTGTGGAGCTCATCTCGCAGCAGTACCACAAAACCCTCAGCCACTTCATCTTGATGAGAGACGACGCTGGATTCCCAGACCTCAGCGTCAACCGCAACGAGGACCCGCTGGTTCTCCTCGCCTGGCGCTGTGTGCACCTCGCCGTCTTGATCATCCATGGTAAGTGGAGATTTTAAACTCTTTCACTTGCCTATGGGACTAAACTTTCCATAATACCCTTTTCATCTGAAAATTAATATATCTGAAAGTTGTTTGAGTCTGTTTGAGAAGTTGTTGCTGCTGCTATCAATCATGTATTTTTGTTTAATTTTTAAATTTCATTTTAAAAAAATCCTTTCCAAAAAATTAACAAAAAACCTAACACAATTGCAAAATTGAACATTTTCCCCTCTACATAAACCTTTATTCCAAAATGAATAATTAAAATGTACATATAATAATAATAATAATAATAATAATAAAGTACTACTACTGCTAATAATAATAACAAAGAAACAAAATCTAAATACATTTTTGTACCATTATTGTGTATAATCAAACATAACATAGGTCATTATTTTTTGTGTGTGTGTTGTTTGGTGTGTGTTTTTTAATTTTAATCATGTATGTGTGGGGGAAAAAAATATATATACAGTGGGTACGGAAAGTATTCAGACCCCCTTAAATTTTTCACTCT